TTGTAAAACCAGTACACTGCTACTGTCTTTATATGGATTTCAGTAGCAGTGTACTGGTTTTACAACCACATCTAATCCATATAAAGACAGTAGCAGTGTACTCGTTGTACAACTGACATCCATATAAAGACAGTAGCAGTGTACTGGTTTTACAACCGACATCTAATCCATATAAAGACAGTAGCAGTGTACTCGTTGTACAACTGACCTCTCTTTATATGGATTAGATGTCAGTTGTACAACCAGTACACTGCTACTGTCTTTATATGGATTAGATGTCAATATGGTACGATTCCCTCAAAACAAAGCAACCAGCAACACATTCAACATCTCCAGTTCCTTCAGAAGGTGCAAAGCCAACCAATGCTACGCCATTTGTAGACATCAGGTGGTCCCTCGAGTCCACTCATGGAGGGGGAAAGAATACTAATCTCAGTGTATTGTGTAAAAAGCTACTGAAGTGGAAGAACAGAAACAGTCCATAACCAGAAAATCACCAGTGGCAGAAGAAGAGGCTTTAAGGCTTAGCCACTCAGCCTTAGAAAAAAAAACGGAAGCATTATATATGATCAACATTAACATATCCAAAAAATAATTATACATTACTTTTACTATTTGCTTAACGAGTTTATACTAAAGTAAATTAGAACAACTTGTGATGTATGAACCTTAGTAACAGTTTCCTTGTGACTAGGAAATACAGACTTAGTACTGAGAGATGTCACAATATGCCAGTGTATCTAATGTGGGCAATTTTTGGAAGTCCTTAATGAATGTAATATTAATTAAGAAATACAGATTGTTTAAGTTAATATTATCACACCCTTTAATCTGATTGGTAGCCAAGACCTGGCATTCATGGATTTAACAGTGAACCAAGGAGTTAAAACATACATGAGGAATTAAATTCTAAGTCAAAGTTCGAGGCATTTTGGAATTAGTTTCAACATTTGTTGTTTTTTTCCTCACAAACATTCCAGTTCTAAGTATAGTTTATGGATTCTAGAAAAGTACTTTTTTTTTGCTATCTCAGGATATAACTCTGCACATATTAATAAGATGGTTTGTAGAATGTTTGTAGTATATGTCACTAATATTGCTCTTTCTTCCCGTCTTCTATGCCTTTGTATCTCTGCTCTAGTGGAGTCCATTCAGAGTTATGCTTACTTGTTTACCGATGGTGGATTCGCTTCTTCCCAGTGTGTGTATAGTACAATGGGCAGGCGAATTAGTGAAGCTAGTGTCACCAGCACAATGTCTGGCATTACTGAAATGGTACCCTTGGCAACCATATCTACACGTGAGCATATCCATGTTTATCTAATGCTTGCTAAGTAAAGTCTATGTATGGTTTTGCTCCTTTCAATAAATCTTGCATGCCCATAATGCTGTTATCTGTAATTGTAAAATAAGTTACAATAAATCTGTTAAATGTTTTTTTTTTTCTCCCAGTGACACAGAAGTGGTGGGGATCGAAGAGATTGGATTATGCACTGTACTGTCCAGATGTAAAATAAGTTACAATAAATCTGTTAAATGGGTTTTTTTTCTCCCAGTGACACAGAAGTGGTGGGGATCGAAGAGATTGGATTATGCACTGTACTGTCCAGAAGGACTCACAAACTTCCCTATCAATGTTCTACCTCATCTTTTTCATGCTAGTTACTGGGAATCGACTGATGTCATCGCTTTTATACTAAGGCAGGTATGGAAGGATAATTTTTTTGTCTTCGTATTTCTCAGATTGAAGAACAGCATGCGATAATGTGCTATCTTTAGAAAAGTTTTAATTGTTAGGCCTAACAAAAAACGGGTACCTTTTTTAGACCGTAGTAAGGAAAAACAGTATCTCCAACATGTGTTTTGGGATGTGTAGCATTATAATTGAACCTTCACATAAACATGCATATTACCACTGAATGAAGTATCTATTAAAAGGTCCAACTATTGCAGTCGTTAATGAGCCAACATGTTCGATCACGTGTTTGTACGTGAAGTCTTTAATGGCATGTATAAAAATTGTGGCTGATTATACTGTTTCAAGATACGTAAACCTATTTTTAAATGAAATACTTACTAACCATGTTTAGAGACATATCCAAATATCTCATCTTATCAGGATGTTGCTATTATGATTTGTACAACATAGAAATATTTTAATGCCCAACGGTTGGTTTCTCGTGTAATAATTTTGCAGTAAAACTAAACAGGATTATTGTCATTACGAATAAATGAAATACTTACTAACCATGTTTAGAGACATATCCAAATATCTCATCTTATCAGGATGTTGCTATTATGATTTGTACAACATAGAAATATTTTAATGCCCAACGGTTGGTTTCTCGTGTAATAATTTTGCAGTAAAACTAAACAGGATTATTGTCATTACGAATAAATATACTAATTCACACTACATGACGGTTTCATTCTTTGAAAGGTTGTGAGGTCGGAAACGTTAATTCAAGGAGACAAAGAGAAGGAAGCATCTGTCTTTATCCCTTCCCAGCCTCGTGAGAAATGGCTAAGGAAAAGAACTTCCATGAAAATTAAGGTAAACTACTAACCAACTTTTCAATTTCTTAAGACTGTATTGAAATCAGAAAAATAAGATTCTTAATTAAGTGCATAAACCCATTATGTAGTATAAATGTGTTTCATTGTAAGAGATTGTTGTAGGCCTGATGGTCGACTCACAATCTAAATTAGTACAGAAAGTCCTCGAGTAGCTTTGTGCAAAATTCAACAAACAAAGATTGTTTGTTTGTACAATTCAAGGCCCTTTCATTTTGAAAGCTAGAGACTTTAATGAAGGTATTTACTGGTAAAGTCAGTCTCTTATTTCTTGTATGTTTGAATATTTGAGGAGTAACAGTCACTTGACAGGATTGAGAGAAGTTAAATGTTTCTTTTAATAATCATTGATAGCCTCCTCCTCTAAATCAGACTTGAAACATCAAAAATCGTATCTCATAATTCCAGAAAATTTAATCTGCACTTTTTACTTTATTTATTAGTCTTAGCTATAATTAATTTAGTTTAAAAGCTTATCCCCTTAAAGCAAAGTAATTTGGTGTCATAGTTCTTGCCAAAAATTTTATATATTTACTTCTGGAAGATGACGTTTTGAGCTAGTACTCTTCATCAGATTGTAAAGCTTTGAATTTGATAGAGTGCTAGCTCGAAAATTCATCTTTTAGAAATGAATGTACATAAACGTTTTTGCCAACTATTAACTTATTTATTTCTGTGTGTCTTTTGTTAAAAGCATTTTCTGGTTGTTCCGAGTTTACTTGGTTTTCTACAATCAATTTGATGTACATCATCTTTCAGGGAAACATTTTTTTTTGAATTGCACGTAAAGAATATTTTGCTGGAATCTCTGAACCTACTCTTGAATATGTTTCATATTTTAATTGTCTGCTCACACTTTTTATCGTTTTACTTTCCAGAATGTGACTGCTAATCACAGGGCCAATGATGTCATTGTTAAGGAAGGTGACCCCCAGACATTAAGTGCTAAGTTCCTCTACGGTCCTTTGGACATGGTTACGTTAACAGGAGAAAAGGTCCTTGTATTTTAGATGTGTTATTTCTGCCAAGCTTTGACCTTAAAGTTAACTTTTCAAACCTAGAAAATATTTTATAGGACTCAAAGTAGTGATCAAAATATTAAACAATTTGTACCAGTCTAGTTAGTACAAAATATTAAACAATTTGTACCAGTCAATTCCCTTGATAAAAATAAGCCAAGGATATATATTTTTACATTCAATCTTAAAACGTAAAATCTATTCATGTTTTCTTCAAATGATAATTATTTTAACCACGATAAAACATATTTGTACGTTATCATGTACCTTGGGGTAATGATAACGGGTCTTAAAATTATGGGTGATGAGTGAACATTCTACTTTAACAGCATTTTTGATTCGAAAATAATTCATGTTTCAGTTTTTCTTATGTTAAAAACTAGATAATGTCTTTCATAATTATTTAAATATAATTACTTAGCTGGCAATCCCACAGTACATGTTTTGTCCCTGTTGTACTTTGTGGTAAATTTTTTTTAATTTTCCCAACAGGTTGACATCCACGTCATGAAAGATTCACACTCGGCTGAGTGGACGTTCCTCACGACAGAGTCATCAGACAAAAACGGTAGAGTCTACTACACCCTTCCGAAGGAGAAAGCTTTAGGTTATGGAGTGTTCCCTATCAAAATGATTGTTAGGTGAGGTAGTGTCTTGTGTTAAGAAAGGTTTTATAGATGTATTATTAAATATTAATTTTCGATCCAGTCAGAATAAGCTAAAAAATCAACTTGGCCATCAGTATAACTAAACTAAAAATATTTTTTCTTTGTATCTACATGTAACAATTAGAATACATTATTTCATCAGTTGGATACCCTCATCGTGGATGATATTTTTTTGCTGTAAAACCAGTAACATCTCACAAAGTTCGGCCATCTTAGAAGATTTAGCTTAGTCCTAAGTACATATATTAAAGCTAACAATGCACAACAGTTATTAAAATAAAGGTTAGTATGTTTGATATAGTAATTATAAAACCAATATTATTATTATTAATGAAAAGTATACTAAACAAATGAATAACACATATCTTACTTAAAGAACTCACGAACCCTCAATCCAAAGTCATTTATGTGTAACAATGCACTTTACCAAACTATATGGCATCCTAGTTGGTATTCCAGGTAGTAATAAGATGTTGACTACGTTAGTATATTATTTCCTTTCACGTGTAGAGGAGGGTTACAGTAAAACTGTTTTCTACTTTGTATGTTAACTATTCCTAGAACAGTTGTTATAATACAGTATAAATGATCCGGTAACAACAATGCCTGCACTTGATGAAATTATATGTTTCTCCAACTAGTTGTGAACCTATCTTTATAATATATTTTAACAAATTTCAAGATTTCAGGACTTATAAAAAAAACGTGTATCAACTTTCTAGAGGCGACCACACTTGCATAGACTTTTTCTTGGCGGTCGTTCCACCGAAAACTGAATGTGTTGTCTTCAGTATTGATGGTTCCTTTACGGCCAGCGTATCGGTTACCGGAAGAGATCCTAAAGTTCGAGCCGGTGCCGTGGACGTGGTCAGGTAGCTCGGCTCTTTGTGGAGCTTTTCATTTAACGAGTCTGATCGACCCTTTTAAAGTAAAAGTCGAACAAGGTTTGAGATGTATTTCACTTAATTAGTCGACAAGTCTTAAGACAACATGTTGTGCTGTGCTAAACATGTAGAATGGACATAAAACTTTCTACATGTTTTAAATGTAGCTATGATGTTATTTGTTTTATTCCCAGCTTCTTGAACTTCCTTAAGCCTACAATGTTTGTTTAAGTTTGTACTGCCATTTTTGTTTTTCATAAAGGTTATTATTGCAGATACTTTTATCTACTTTTTTCTCACAATGGTTCAAATTCCAAATAAATATCTCATTGTAGAAACGTAAGTCTCAATAGAAAGGTGTAACATGCCCCCCCCCCCCATACTTTGGGGTAGTTAGTTCTCCTTTTTACTTCATTACAAATATTAAACTAAACACAAATATTACTAATGATATACGGTTGGGGAAGCTCTGTAAATTTATTTAAGTCACCATCATTAGCTGGGTTTATCTTCCTATCCAGGCACTGGCAGGAGCTAGGCTACCTGATTATCTACATAACAGGCCGTCCTGACATGCAACAACAGAGGGTGGTATCATGGCTATCTCAACACAACTTTCCTCATGGGTTGATTTCTTTTGCTGAGGGACTTTCCACCGATCCTTTGCGTCACAAGGCAGGATATCTCCGCCACTTAAAGGCAGATGTAAGTCTTATTGCGTGTTTAGATGAACCGGTACATGTGTAATTCAAGCTTTATCCTACTAAATTTAATGTGAAGGCCACAGGTTAATTGTCTTGCTGCTTAACTTTTAAGTTATCCCCTTTATTATACTGAACTAATACTTAAATCACATGTAGATATAAATTTAATTTCTCTGTCTGTTTTTCTTTAATAAATGATGTTAGTGTTAGAGCTTTTTTCTTTTCCTCTGACAACCTCCAATCTTGAAAAGATGTGAATTTAGAAGTGAATTTTGTAACTGGATCATGTTAACCAGATTTAGTGATTTTACAAAATTAATTCTCTCAGAAAATCCCGATTAAAACTTGTTAAAACCCTTTAGTCTTCTTGTGTTCATTATGATCTCACACCTTCTTTTCTACTACTACTATAGGAATGTACCCTCAGGTTAACTGAAGAATAATGATTTATTCCAACCAAAAAACATGAATAAATGCTGTCATTTAATATACTGGCTGGACTATAAGAACTGATTGAAGTGGGCATGGACTTACTGGGTAAAAAAAGTAGTGTTGTGTGAATATACGATATGCTTTACCTTTAAAGCTATTATCAGAAAATTCTGAACTTCATGTGCTCATTAAGACTGTACAGTAAAGTAAATAACACTGTGTTATTAATCCTTAACCTAAAAATCTGACTCATAAATGACTTAAATAAAATTCATAGTAATTGTACTCCACTTACTTTATCTGGTTCACACAGTTCTGGCAGAAGGCGTCGTCTACACTGGATGTGGCAGATGTAGCGTGGGGCGACATTAATATTCTCTTTTTTTTGCTTTCACTAGTAAGTTCTTAGACTGGACCACTATTTTGGGTAGCGATGTTTGTTTTGTTCGAACTTTATGGGCACAGAAAAAAACTAATGTATTCATGTTTCTCTCAACAATGAACAAGAAATGGAAACAACATTAAGAGTTGTTTGACGGATGCTACTGAACTGGATCTTTCACAGGTCGACATCATAATCCACGTGGCGTACGGCTCAAGTAAAGATATCTGGGTGTACTCTTCTGTTGGGTTACAGCAAGAACAGATCTTCATCGTGGGAAAAGCATCCAAAAAGCAGCATTCCATAGCTACGGTGAGTTGTAGTCTTTCCTAAAGTTAGAGGTTATTTTTATATTAGAAGTTATGGAATAAGATGTATGGTAAAATACTATAAACATTTCAATATCATCATGACTGTACTCTACTTGTATACAAAAACAACGAGTAAACTGAGTTATGTTTTACCCTGTTGTAGTGGTAAAATACCATAAACATTTCAATATCATCATGACTGTACTCTACTTATATACAAAAACAACGAGTAAACTGAGTTAAGTTTTACCCTGTTGTAATGGTAAAATACCATAAACATTTCAATATCATCATGACTGTACTCTACTTATATACAAAAACAACGAGTAAACTGAGTTAAGTTTTACCTGTTGTAGTGGTAAAATACCATAAACATTTCAATATCATCATGACTGTACTCTACTTGTATACAAAAACAACGAGTAAACTGAGTTATGTTTTACCCTGTTGTAGTGGTAAAATACCATAAACATTTCAATATGATCATGACTGTTAGAAAAACAACGAGTAAACTGAGTTAAGTTTTACTCTGTTGTAGTGGTAAAATACCATAAACATTACAATATGATCATGACTGTACTCTACGTGTATAGAAAAACAACGAGTAAACTGAGTTAAGTTTTACCATGTTGTAGTGGTTGAACCCGATATATTATGTGATTAATTCATAGAGTGATGTTTTACTGAAAAGTTTTTTTTTGTATTTTGATACCCTAGGTACATTTATTTGTTGAATGATACACGTTATGGATGGGATGAGTTAGATGGACCAAGATGTCCCTTGTTGTCCTTAAATTATATGTATGTTTGTCTGTAGGTGAATATAATTATATATATTTGTTGTTTTTACATGTGTTATTCTATTTTCTGTACTTCTGGCTATCCACTGTTTGGGCAACTTGGGCATGGCCTTATAAATTGTTTATGTATAGGCTAATTATTATAAGTTCTGGAACTTTTCTTAATTACACTTCAATACATTTACAGCCAATTTTCTATCGTCATCATCTAAGTATAGGTTAATTTCTGTTCAGTGTTCACAAACTATACTGACTTTTAATTTCAACCTTACTTGTAACAAGGAACATGTAATAAGCTGAGTATATTTCTGTTCAGTGTTCACAAACTATACTGACTTTTAATTTCAACCTTACTTGTAACAAGGAACATGTAATAAGCTGAGTATATGGAAGTCACACGCTACCAGTGCAGGGTTAGTTATATCTGCTGGATGATTGGCTAACTTAGTCAGAAGTGTGCGTTTATTTCAAGTAATGGGAAAAATCACTGTTCACATGCTTTTGTTGAATATTATAAGAAGTGGAAAATGTTATTCTTCCAATCTGCCCTGTAGTTACTAATTTAAATTACGTGTGATAAATTGGTAGTATTGGATTTTTTTTAAACAGTTTTTGATATTATAAAATTGTAGTTTTTAACATTACATTAAAATATAAAAGATCATATCAGGCTTAATTAAAGAGGCTATAAACTGTATGCTTAAGGAACACGTTACAGGCTTGTATATAAAACTGTTCAAACTGTTTTATCTTAATGGCGTATCAAAAAACAACATTCATTAAACTTGCTACGATGTAGAAGTGGTCATCGTACAAATTGCAAGATTTAGCCTATATACATACATTGCTAGTACTTCTATATAAGGTAAGGTTTCAAACAATCACCTGGAAAGGAGTTTCATTTTCCATAGTAACTTGTTTTTAAGTTATTGTTATGTTACAGTATAGTCTATATTACAAATCTAAAAAGTCAACAGCATTTCAATTTCCACTATCTAACTTTTGAAATAACACGTGTTTCAGGTTCTCACTGATGGCTACGCTGCACATCTTGGCGATCTGAAGGCCCACGGCGGTTCCCGACCTGCCCAAGGTAATGCCCGAATGATTCTCCCAAGAGGCGTGTTTGGTTTACCTGGTCAAGGTGCTGGTAGTCTTCGTCAGCGTCAGTCTGCTAAACGAACAACTTCTTACCCCTTGTCTGCCCAAATTATGGATTCTAAGACAAGGGCAATTTCGTCTAAACCAACCTCTACTAATGTGTAATACAAAGAAAGCAATTTCAGCCAGTTCAGGATGAGAAACTATATTCCAGTAAGTTTTGAATGTAGGGTACCATGGAACAGTTCCTTTGCATACCTTGGCTTTCTATTTGACAGCGTATTATGATTTATTAAGGAAATGTATGCTTCTTATTACCTCACCCGTTATCAGAACTTTTCATTTTGTCAAGAAATATTTATTCAGTTACATTGTAAAAACTGATACACACTTTGTTTCAAGGTTGAACCACTTTCACCTCACCAGCTAACTTTAAGATTCCAAATCAACATGCATGGACTTGCTTACTCCCCAAGGAATTCCTACCGAACATTGTCATATAAAGTAGGAATCCACCGTTTTACTACTTAGAGAACTTAAAGAGTACAAGGTGTCTGTTTGTTAAGAGTTGTTTTGTCAAGGGTGAACTATTACTTGCCATTGTCTTTCACATGCAATTCTTGTCCATTTCTCAGATTTTTTTTTAATCATGCCGAGACTTGTTTGTTTACAAGAAAAAAAGAACTTCATCCTAACTCTTAAGTCGCACCGAGAAGTGTTAATGTTCAGAAGAAAGGAAGACAATGTGTCGACTAGCTCTTAAGCCTATTTTCATCATTATCTGACTTGTGTTATATAGTTCTTCATTTAATGTACAAATATTCCCGAGATATTTTGTTTTACCACCAGCAAAGTCCTAGTGAAACACTGTGTATGTGTTAAGTATTCCATCGTTAATGTATTTTAGTGTTTGAGACTGCTATAGTAAACGTGTCGTCACTAGGTTTATTGCACATAATTCAAAGCACTGATGTCAAGCAGATTGTGATGTAAAGGCCAGCAAGGGTTCTGACTATTATTTATGACAAATAGATATTAAAGTTTGTAAAAGTGTTTTTTTTTAATATTTTAATAGTGTACAGTAGTGTACAGTTACTGTTTCACAAAGTAGTCATAAATATACTTATATTTCTCCTAACATTTACTGTTCACATTCCTTGGTCATGGTTCTACCCTAATCTTTCCTAATGCTTCATTCATTCTGTTTACGAGAAGAAACTGAACAGTCCCAAGTGTTTAATTTTACTACGAATGATTCTTCATAACTGCCATATTAGTTTTATGGTATTTCTAATTTCACCATCTAGTCATTTTTAAATTTTTTTCTCATTTATTTTAAGTCTAATTTTTGATTTGCACATAATGATGACTGAAGTAAGATTCAATGTTAAATAGTGCAAGGAATATTGTAATGTTCTTAAGTTTTTGAAATTATCTGGTCAGTCAACATTTTTGCAGACTTATTCACATGCGAGAACAGCCCACTTTGAAAAGTAGTGAAACATTATGTTCATTAGAACAGAGAAATTTGGTACTTAATATTGATTAAAAAAGCACCAGTTTTTTTTTTATTTATTTACAAGAAGTTCAATTTTTTTAGTCTTTACAAATCCATGAAACTTCATCTCAAAGCCACAAAGAAGGGGCAAAAAAAAAGCTCCTAATAAACAATTTCAAAATTACCTAAACTCGCTGTCAAAAAAGAATTTTTTTTTTAAATATACTTATTGTGTGCTTTACTAACTAAAAATTTTCATCGTGACATTCCTAGTTTTATCTTTGATTACTGGATGTTTGTTGAAACGTTTGGTTAACCTTCACCCATAAAGTGTAGGATCACCTGATATACGTTATCTCAGTCAGCATGACACAGATCTGATGTTAAGGTCGTTGTGTGACTTCAAGCAAGTCACTCTCACCAAGCCTGACGTAATGAAATATCCAAACTGTTGCTTTCTTATTCTCAATCATTTGCAGAGGATGTTTTTTTAATTAGAGACCCTACTTCTGTTTTTCTCCACAAGTACTCAAACTGGCAATAAGAAAGAATATTGCTTCCTGTTGTGGTCGGTTCTTGTGATTATGCTTGGAAGGATAGCTTTGTAAGTAGAGGTTTGTGATACTCTGTTGTTGCTTTAAAAATGTACTGTTACATTTAGCTTGTTCGGGTATTTTATCAAAAATATTTTATTTTGAACTTGTTTTAACTCTGTGTTTTTAAGTTCTCTTGTATAATATTTACAACATACAAGTCTCTCAGATTTAGAAAAGTTATTATCTCAGCCAAATGCACCAAGAAGTGAAATTACAGTTCATTGCCACCCACCGAATCCTTCAGCTAAAACCCACTGTTATTTTAAATATAAAATGTTTTTTCAATGTTTGATGTTTATTAAAATCAGTTTTTTGTTTGTTTTTTTTTGCTGTTGTCATTGTTTTACTTTACCTTAATAACACAAATTCCAAACTGTTTTAAATGTCATTTTTCAAAAGTATTAGAAATATTTATTACAGTATGTCTGTAAAGTGTATGTTCAGAATACTAAGTTTGTTCTGTCAGTCAAAATTAAAATAAAGTTATGCCTATTTAATTTGCTTTGTTGATTTTAATAGGAAGGTTTTAAATTCAGATCAATTAAGCTATGTACATTAAATGAGGTTATCCTGTAAGGACAAGTTTTTCTTTGGTAAAAATCCCAACCGTGCTGGAATGTGAATCCAGAGGTCCATGGTTCCTGTCCCATTGCTGCACAATTGCACTCCTCACTTTGGAGTTGTGGGTGCACTACAAGAATAACAATCAAATCCTACTGTTCTGTTAGAGTATCCCAAGAGTCAACAGCGGGGTAGCTGTCTTTTTCATCTAGTCTGTCATTTCAAAATTAGGTATGCATAGGAAGCCTGGTATAGTATTGTGCAAATATCCCCCCTCCCCCAACCAATCTTAGGTATTTATGTATAACCTATAATAAAGTTCCCACACTGTAATCATGTCTACTCCTGTCACCTTCAACCACCCCCACGTTAACACCCAACACATTAGTAGTTTAAAAGTACTGTTCTTTTCTCAAGATTTCCGTGCTTTGTTTAAATGTTTGTTTGAGGTTTCTCAGTGTTGCATTTTATCCCATTTTGTATTATTACTGGTAACATTTTTAATGGATGTTCATGCCAGAGAAAACAAAGTAAATTAACATAAGCAAGTTAAAACATGATAATTAAAAACTAAATGAATATTAATCTTTAAAACATGATGATCTAAAACCGGTAGAATATTAATATTTAAAACATGATGATCTAAAACCGGTAGAATATTAATCTTTAAAACATGATGATCTAAAACCGTTAGAATATTAATCTTTAAAACATGATGATCTAAAACCGGTAGAATATTAATCTTTAAAACATGAATCTAAAACCTTTAGAATATTAATCTTTAAAACATTATGATCTAAAACCGTTAGAATATTAATCTTTAAAACATGATGATCTAAAACCGGTAGAATATTAATCTTTATACACGATGAAATTTAAAATAATTTTAAAATTATGACAGATGTCACTACTTATTAAACACTGTCTTTTGAATGAAATATTCAAACGATCATACACAGAAGTAAAGACACGATACTTACTTGGCTAGCTTATGACTCGATGCAGTCACAACGAGAGATAACCATGAACTCATGCTAAGTAACAAAAATCAAATGCACGGTTCATCTAATAAGCATGAACACTAACTAACAAACAAGTTACAAACACCTGTAAACTAAACATCGACAGGATTAGTGTGTGTGTGTGTGTAATACTTTATTTACTTCGCCCATTAAAAAAGAAAGAATGACAGTGTGAAGAGATTATTGAAGAAGATGGCACGCCTTTAACAGCGGTGCCAGTCAAGGTTATGTACGATTAAGGAAGCCGTGAACCAGTTCGAACTTCAGTATAGCGGCGAGGGGTAAGACACAAGTTAGTGGGGAACCAGCCTGACTCATGCCATGAAGGTGACCCTTATTAATATACGCGTGTATGTAAATAATTTCTAAGCAGTTCTACCTGTCACTTTACATAATTGAAAAGCTGAGAAGTGGAGATGAGCATGGCGAGTAACGTCACAAAGTTTTATACAAGATAACGCGTGCAGTCGGGAGAAAACGAGCTTGCACATCTATTGTGTGTAAATATGAATTTTGTGAAATACCGAAATTATTATTTAATTAGTTCAAAACTATAAACCAACCCGGTAATGAGTATGGATAATTAAATATTTTTCTTACTTTGAATTTCTTGGATTGAAAAGATTCATAGTTTCGTTATCATCGTGGTTAACGGTAATTTCGATCGTAAAGCTAATATTTTACGAGGTTCAGCCAGCTGGGGAGATTGAGTGGGTTTAGTAAACTAAGCTAACTATGTAAAATAATCTCTATAATAAAACTGGATGTAATAACTATTTACAACCAATACTGTAACTTACGAGAGTTTTTGTTGGAAGTATTTAACTTTTTTTTTTTTTTTGTCAATTACTTGGTCCTAAAGTTTGTTTGTTCGTTCACCTCAACGTAGTCTTATTAAAAAAAAAGATATATTAAACAAACAAATTGGGAACCTTTCTGGTACAGGCTTGGCCATACCTAATTTTCGGCAGCGACTACTAATAATTCCAAATAGTGGATCTGTCTGTCACTCTTGTAACGCACCTACAGCTGAAAGTTCTGAGCTTGTTTGGTAGCGTCACTGTCTCGAGTCCGGGATTCCCTAGGCCGATACGCTATCTACCTAGCCTTGTTTGGTCTTTGTCCTAAAGTAATAGTTTTACGTCAACTACAGAGATAGTTCGGTCTAAACAGACATGGTTTGTTTGGGGCAGTTCCCTGTTCGACAATGTCACGTTCCAAATGTGCGCGCGCATCGTGAATAAACATAAAAATCAACGTTCGAACTTAGGGTAATCCCTGTTCCCATTGTTAACGTATTAGTTTCTTGCTTCTCGTCAAATCGGCTTGACCTCGAAGTAGGCAAGTGTTAAGGGTACTCAACCAATCAGAGATTCAAGAAGGCATATTAAAAAAAATATATTACAATAAATTAGATAATCAACTCAAACTTAAAACTGCATTTTAGTGGGGGTTTTGATAAAACTTGTAACCGGTATTAATTAAACGAGGGAGGGATCTCCTGGGGTATGCTACCGTGTTAAATGAAAGAAATATTACAATAAATTAGGGTTTTGATAACGAAAAGCTAAAACTTGAAACCAATGTCAAATAGAATAATTATAACGGGGGACGGGTCCCCTGGGGTATGCTACCGTGTTAAATAAAAGAAATATTACAATAAATTGGGGTTTTGATAACGAAAAGCTAAAACTTGAAACCAATGTCAAATAGAATAATTAGAACGGGGGACGGGGTCCCCTGGGGTATGCTACCGAGTGCATTCAGTCTGCAAACCGTCTTTATAGCATGCACGTTAAGTACTTTCTGTTTTACGCTAAGTTTTGGGTGCGCGCAAGTCCTATTTGCTTGTCATCACGTAAAAATCGTACTACTAATATATTTGACTTTGATTTATATCTGTAAAACCTGTTACTTCTGTAAACTTGTTACATGTACCAGATCATTACCAGCACCGTTACAGCGTGTATCAGATCAGACCAAACGCGAATTGGGACTCTATATAGATGTTCCTTTATTAGAAGTGGGAAAACGTATTCCCTTTGAAAAATACAAGTTAAGAATTTTTCATTACGTAAAAGCTATAATTTTATTATTTCACCTCTCCATTTATGTATTTATGGTGCTATTTTTGTATCATGCCGTTTTTTTTTATCGTTTGTTTGTTTTTCTCTACCACTATCATCAATACCATCTGGCCTGATGGTTAGGGTATTCGACTCGCGGGCTCGAATCCCGTCACCGAACATACTAGTCCTTTCAGCCGTAGGGCCGTAATAATGTGACGGTTAATTCCACTACTCGTTGGTAAAGAGTTGGCCGTGGGTGATGTTGACTAGCTGCATTCCCTCTAGTCTATATCACTAAAATTGGAGACGGCTATTGCAGATAACCGGCGAATAGCTTTGCGCAAAATTCAAACCGGTACCACCCTGTTTCTCTAAACTAGTCTATGATATTTTGTTTCGTGAATTAGTGTTGGAATAGAACGTTTCACTCTGCAGATGATTTAATGAGGTGTAAACTTTGATCGAATGGGGTTCGAACCCATATCAGGTGATCTAATCAATAGAATTATCGATCGGTTAACAATATATGTATGTAAATGTCCGAGACACGTAGGTTCGCATTTCACTAATCTGCTTTTTTTTGAATTTCTTTTTAAGGTTATCACCTTCCAATTAAGCTCGTGACCTGATATTCTATTTTATGCAGATACTCTGTCGAAGAAGCAGTAATGGTTGCCCCAGTTTTATTTATAACGTCGTTACTCTTTACTTGTACTCTCGATAACCCTAACTTACGTGGGAACCTCGACGTTTTCATGAAGGCAAGGAAGTAATGTCCTGACGCCTGGTGAGCGTAAATTATTACCTTCCTCAAATTTCCGTGTGTATATATATTTATATTTGTAGCTTTAGTAAATATTATACCATACATATAAACATGCGAGTGAAAATGTATCAGCAAACAATGTTTGTTTCGGATATTCGTTTATAACAACACAACGGCTATATCTCCGTTAACCGTCCCTAATTTTGCATTGTTAGACTAGAGTAGAATAAAGACACCCGCCGTCAACTCTTGGGCTCTTCTAATCGAAATGTTGGGTATAACACACCCACGGTCCCCAAAAGGCGGACCGCAATTTTGTGGCAACATGATGCGAACCATGAATCTTCGGATTCACCGTCCAGGCAAGAAAACCACTAAATCACGCCGCCTTCCCCCTCCAATAAACGTGAAGAACAAACAATGTGTCAAATTGTAAAGTAACCCAGGATTTTTTGCTATGATAGTTTTTAAATTACTGAATTAGAGATCCATGTCACGTTATTGATGAGATACTATGAAAACGTTTTGTGTCGTATTATATGCGAAACAATACAGAACTCAGCTGCTACTGTTGACAAGTAAGTTGACCCATGACAACAAATAAGAATCATTGTTAAAAAAATGAGTTTGTTTCTGTTAAAAGTAATCGTTGTTAGAAAACAGACCGTTTGGTATCCGTTTTTAAACTGTTAGTTAGAATAAAGCTACACAGTGGCTGTATCTGCTGCGCCCACGGGGAGTGTCGAAACCCGAATTTCACTGTTATAAGCCTTCAAACTTAACGCTAAGCAGCCATCTGGAGACATTTTCAAGTCAACAACATTGTTGCTAGAGAGTAAGACTTTTTTGTTTCTGTTTAAGTAGATAGTCTGTTGTGTAGCTTTTCGCTAAAACAACTGGAAATCATTGTAATAATGATAGAAATACGAACTCTGACGACGAATTAAAAAACCTTTAGAAAATAGAATGCCCAATCTTTAAAAAAACAGTATAAGTAATTGCGAAACACTGTATTTAAGCTTGGAGAACTGTATAAAACATGAGATCTCCAAGGTTGGTGGAGTATTCTTCTTGGATGTATATAAGACCTATAGGAATTTTAGCATTACGAGAGAGAGAAAAATAAAGAATACGAGAAATAAAAATGTGGTAGTTTCTTTTGTATCGTCGATTGTAAAAAATAAAGTCACGTATCACGTGGTTGTAGGTGTTTTCAAGGCCTCTAATAGTTTAGAACTTGATAACACTAGGGCTATAAACACGACACATTCGTGTTAAACTACACAAGCCACCATCAGGTTTATCCTCATATCTATGGTTTGCGGGTACAGATACCTTATTTAAAAAAAAATGCTTGATCTCAGAGCGCAAACAGTAACGCTTTTTTCGGTAGGCCATATCACTACTTTATATCAACTGAAACGTTTTTTTTGTTTTTTTTTTTTACAAAGTTATGGAATGTTGTTGGTATATTTGAGAAAGTGTCAAAGTTTGTTACTAAAACTACTTTTATTATCAATAAAATAAATTGTTAATGTTGAAATAACAAACCTACAACATGCTCATAAGTCATTTCATCGAAGGTGCTTAAATGATAGGCTTAAAGTTAATCTTGATCATGTTAGTGAACATCTAAAAACCGAAGAAATCGGTTCGACTACAAAGAATTGTTCAAACCAGGTGTGTATCCCATCCACCCACGTTTTTTTTTTATATCCTCTGTATGAAATTAATGTAAGTTAAGTAACACAACGAACATAACCTAAGATTTGCGCCACAAAAACCTAGTTAAACCTTGCATAATAAACACCTCCAATTAAGCCTTACATAATAACCTGACTTGCACTTTACGTAACAACGAATTCAATTCAAGCCTTACTTAACAACAGCTATTTTGTACACAAACTGAAAACGCAACAATAAACCAGCAACGGGTTTGCTAATCCTTGTACACCTACAAATGCAAAACGTTTCTTGATAAATTATGTCCATATGTAAATTGGTGTTAAAACTTTAAAAAACAAATAATACATTTTCATTTAGGGTTTTGTTTCATACAATTACAGTTGGTTCTACTACTAGTAAGCCTTGATAATATTTGTATAAACGGTGATGATACTCTTTTACCACTGTAGATCGAGACGCTAAGTTTTTTTTTCTTCATGAAGTTAGGCTAAAAACGATATTTTCACTACACTTAAGAATAATTACGAAAGCAAACAAGTACCTCAAACTGTAGCGTTTCGATGATTAACTTTAAAAGTTTCTCTTTCTTTTTTTTCTAAAGAACAAATAAACTTTTTAGATCGCCATATCTCTGGTAGATTCACTATTTGCTTTTGTTACGGGCCGAAGTCGGTGTACATTGTAATTATGATACTCATCAAACCTTAGACAAGTCGACAACTTCGGATAGTCATCATGGTAGGCCATGTATTATTCACTGTTAAATTATACAGCCCATATATAAAGTGGGCATAATTTACATGAGGGAGGCCTATTTTTAAGAAAAGTGCGTGTTTTTATAGAGAAAAATACTAGTTCCTTCCCATACTTTAAAAACAAACAAAACAGAAATAAATGGATTCACTGTATGAGCACACTGACAAACTTAATTATATGCTGACGAGCAAGGATTTAACATTAGTCTCTTATTTACCCAGTTTAGTTAGGCGTAGCATCCGCACTGCAGACTTGTCACCGTCAGTCATTTTGAAAAATGAATATTTGATTGCCTTTCCTTAAGTATACCCGGTTTGGTTCCCATCTCGTCTAACAACGTAAAAAAAAAAAATATATTTTGAGGCTATTGGTTTTTTTTTTTTTCTTCTCTGACTCGTGAATTCTGGCTTAAATTTTGA